TTTGAGTTTTGATGTGGCCTAGAGCGTATGCTTGCTGCCTGCTGGATCTTTATATTCTCTGTGACTGCTTTGGGCTCACACTTTCCACAAAAATTGATAAAACAGCCCTGGTCTGGTACCCACTTGATCGGCCGTTTTTATATTTTTTTTTTCAATTACTGGACATTTAATGTTTTAAATGCTTTATTTTTATATCACATATTGTGTCATTCATTTCTTAAATTTCAAGTAGCTTATTGAACCACCAAATTGTTCATAAATTAGAAATGGAAAGAGTTACTACTGAGTGCTTAGATCGACTGACAAGAAAATCGATCTAGCTTAATTAGAGATCTTAAATTTAAGCTCTAGATATGTAGCAGTGATAATATATAACTAAGTGGGAGCCAAATGCCCTCCATAGTGGGCCCACGTTCCCGCGATCGGGATTAGTCGATTGCTGAAGGCATCAGATACTGGGGGTTATCACCGGAAAAAAAAAGAAAAGAAAGAAATGGAAAGAACTTTTCTTTTTCTTTTATCTCATACTGTGCTTAAAACTTAATATAAATTTTAAAAATCACTTGATATTGACTCCAAAAAGCCCAAGTATGCCTCAACAAAAGGAAGTGTTTTCAATTTATGAAAGTAATTTCTGGTAAAGAAAAAGGGAAAAATTGAACTAGAGGAACCAAAAAAGTGCATTGAAGTGGTCGCAAATCCATACAAGGGCGAAACTAATAGCCCCATGATAATGCTTCTTGCTCCACTGACCCCCGCACATATTCGCCGCTCAAAACCAACACAACACATTTATTTATTTATTTATTTTGCCAACAAGACAAGACGCTATCACTTCCTTATCCAAACATCATATCTTTATTTGGTCGTCTCTCAAGTCTCAACTGAGACCTTGATTATCGGGGGCTGTCTCTGGTCTACTGCTTTAGATTCAACAAAGCTTCGTGCAGAAACAGCGGCGACGGAACCCTCGGCACCGTCCGCCGGAGAAACCTTCGTTCCTGCACACCAGAGCACAGTTGTGGCTGCGCACGCATGTTCCCCTGAACCCGTGGCTCTGTGACTGGCACATCCTTCCTTCTGTCTGCACCGCCACTTCTGCTCTCAAACAATATATATACACATCATACATCACTTATATATATAACAACCAAAACAACACAACCATAAATCGGAGAATATGTAGAATCTTACCAGCAGCTAGGACAATGAGGACCAAGAGGAGGAGCGCGAATGATTTCCTTTTCATCTTCTGGGTAATGTCTCAGAGAAATAGAGTTTTAGTTGGGACCAGAAGTGTCGTAAGATGCAAAGGTGTGATCACCGTCGTGTGATATATATTGGAAATTGGGAGCAGATGGTAAAGAAGGAAGGGCATGTGGTCACGTGAAAATTCGACAGGTGCAGTGAGGCCGCCCGTGACCGTGTCTTCAATTTTTTGGGGTTTAGTTGCTGGAGCAGATGGGATTTAGGCAAGGGACAGGGTTTTATTTTTACGAGGTGTGTGAAAAGTTTGATGATGATGCTCAAATTCATCAAGATGTTGTTATTTTAGTTTGTTTTTAAGAGCTTTCCATGCATGCATTCGATGGATGTTTAGCCACGCAGGGTGGCCAAGGAATCCCATTTTCCAGAGCTTCGTTGACAGCGATTCAGAGGTCACATGCAAACCTGCAACTTTTCACTCTCGTAAGCTGCAATGTACATAATGGTGAGACGTAATTCCCGATAACAAAAGGAGAGAGATTGTTGGCAACACCCGTAAAATAATAAAAATATAGTTCGATTTGTATCCAAAGACACTGTCTTTAAGAGTTATTTCTTCACATATGTTAGAATAAAAGGCGACACTTCTTAGGATTAAACGAACCCTTTTTGCGTAGAATAAGGTGATAGAACAACAAAAATTTATGGCCTTGTTTGCTTTTGTTCTTTGTTTTCTTGTTCTCAAAACAATTTAGTAAAATTGCTTCTTAGAACTATTTTTGAAAACAAAAAATAAAAAAATTTGTTTGGATAATAATTTTAAAAAATCATGTTTACAAGAAAAAATGATAAAAAATCACAATTGGTAAGTGATAGTTGTCGTTAGTATTGATAAGTAGTAAATAGTAAGTGAGAAGAGAAAAAAAATTTCAAAAATTTCAAATCAAAACATAAAAAACACAAAAACAAAAACAAGAAAATATGTAAAAGTTGTTTTGGTTTTTCAGTTTTTAAAAACAAGTTACTGTTTTTTTTTGTTTTTTAAAACAATCAATTAAAAGCAAGTTACCAAACAAGTGTTTTTGTTTTTCTGTTTTTAAAAACAAAAAATTGTTTTTAAAACAAGAAACCAAACAAGCCCTAAAACTCAGGAGAAAAGAGAGAATAGGAGAGCTCAGGGATAGAACTCGACCCCCACTGACCATACCACACATTGCTTTTTATAGGCAAATAATATGTGATCGTTTAACTGCCATAATGCTGATTAAATATGATTTTAATGACAATTAAAAGAGCAGTTTTTACACAATTAATTAAGGTGAATTAAATCATTTTAAGGCCATTAAATCTGGTTAATGAAATAATAAAACTAACTAATAAAAACACATAAATGTTTCAACAGTCATCTCTAACGGTTAGTTCTAAAGACTCTTTTTCTTAGCTATTTTATTAGCTCAAGCTCATATCTTAGTAAACACTAAGGTTTTCTTAATTTTGAGTAATATAAGACTTCTTTTGACATACTCACACGCTAAAACTCCAACAGAGATCACATTTGTTTGTTGCCGTTATAAGCCAGCTTGCTTGGTTTGCTTCTTCTCTTCAACTATTCCATTTCACATTTGGTACTCTTTCTATAATTTCTGGAAGCATGCATGTACAAGACGGAAAATCAGTTTTTATCCTTGACCTCATAGTTTAAATTTTGTTCAAAATGATTCCCATAGCTGGTTTTCCTCCATCTCAGCTTTATTAGTAGTGCTCACTGCTCACACTTTAGAAACGTTAAAATTGAAGTCCCTATTTATGTCAGGTTGCCATAACACATGGAAGGCCGCATGCAGAAGCGGGGAAGCCATTCACGCCGTGATTTGGTTCTTCTCTTTGAGTGGCAAAAGCAGTCGCGAAAAGCATATATAGATGTTACTCATCAGCAGTCAGCACTGCACAAGAATGATTCACTCATGTTCATTTTTAGCGACAGCAGTGTTAAAAAGTTATATGTATGTATCGATCTTTGAACTAGGCACTTCCAAACGAGACATGTCTCATCAATCTAGCATCAGGGCCGATGAAACAGAGACGACAATAGCTGCAACAGACTTGGCCATAACACCAAAAAATGCACTAATATGCTAGCAATATTCAGCCACAACTCGAAATAATGTTTAGATTTTAGATAGACCACCACTTGGTTACATTACAGGATTAGGCTCTTCGTCCTTGAAACAAGTGTGGAGCTTTGAAGATTTTCTATGTGAATAATGAGCTCTTCAAATTTTGCCATTATATTGAGCAAAACTTCACATGATATCAATGTTGCGTTATGAATAAGAGTAATGTACAGAGTCCGGAAAGGGAGTTGATTCGAAGGGAATTGATTAAAAGGACTCATAATGGCCCCACGCCCTCCTTAGTTTGCGCTGTCCTCTATCTGTTCCAAATGATTATTGATAGAGTTTTTTATGTTAGACGCAACTCTGTACATTAAGCACTTATTCATAGAGAGAGCAAATATTTTTGTTTTCTCTTTTTTGAGATTCTGAAGATCATCAACTTTTAGATATAGGATAGGAGATGGCGCATTGTAGGGATGAATTATTAAGGTGAGTCACTGAAAAGAAATAAAGATCCACAGCGGTAAAGTAATGTCAAATTGGCAGCAAAAGTCTGGAAATGTTGAAGACGCCACACTACACAGCTGGGTCGCTTTACGTATCTGGGAACAGCTAGGATTTGGCTTTACACTTTACCAGATGACCTAGCTATGCACCATTCCTCATCATGTAGAGAAAACCCTGAAATAATATTCAACTCAGAGAGAGCTAGAATTCTTACACTTGCGTGCTTTTCTTTATAGAATAATCATTGGCGCCCCCCCCCCCCATGTTTGCATTTTCTTATAATTCCCACTTGTGTGGTTTCTCTGGTTTTGATGCAAGAACAGAACTGTAACAGGTTCTTTATAAGGGGCATGCGTGCTTGGGCTATGAAAGTGATACAAAAATGGTGGACGCCTTTATCTAACTCAATAATGCAACAAGGAACAGCTCGCTGCTTTCAATGATGAAGGTGGGACTTTGAGGCCTTAAAAGTCTCAAAAGCCCGTTTGAAAAAGCCGAAGGCACATATAACTTATACTCACAAAAGCAATTTTTAAACCCGCAGACAGAGACACTAATCGCCTGTCTGAATGGCTTTATTGATGTTGATATTCGGTGCCAAAGTAAGCATTTCAATATGTTGCGGGCCCGTCCGTGTCTTCCTCTGGCACATGGGGCATCTTCTTCTACTTATCCTATTCAAATCCTTTATTAAGCTTTAAATTTGCTTATGTTTATCTTAATCTGCAGGAAAAAGTTATGTGATTTTTGTTTACTAAGGGGGCATTCGATGCCAAAGCTTTGATTTTGATGGGTTCCAATATAATAAAACCAAGCGCGCACCAAGACAAAAAAGAAATCATAATTACCAGTTATAACACAACCAACTCATCTTGTGTCTGAGATATAGATATCTAGGATTTGTTAGGTTGGGGAAGATCTTCGCATATTAATCTAATTTCCACTTCAAAATGTTTGTTCAAATTGAAAATTACCCAAAATATAATATGCTATTAAAATGCATATTTCGATACTAACTATCTTCTTTTAAAACTAAAGAGTCCATGGCACATCATATTCCTATCAATCATGCATAGACATTTCCCTCGTTTGTATCTGTGAAAGAAACATCCATGACAACATATAAAGCACATTATGCCTGCATGCAAAGAATGCGACAAACAGAGATATGGAAAAAAAGACCCACCACAAATTTCTGTCCATTTACACATAAAAAACAAAGATCGCCCGTCCACCTCCAATATGAAAAAGAAATTTGATATTTGACAATAACGAAAACAATAATAATAAATAATAATTAAAAAAACACAGAGTATACATATATATCCCATATAATACCCCATAACAATTTCACAAGAAAAGCCCATCCTCCTATTCGTCAAAATTCATGTTTAAGCAGAAGACTTGGTTTTCAAGCGGTACAAGAGTTTCTTCTTCTTGGAGCTTGCATTGTCAATGGTGAGAACCACTTTCCCAGGCTCACCAATCTCAAAACTATTGCAAAGCACTGGTTCTTCTGATGAAGCCACTTTTCTAGCCTTCTGAATAATCACTGTATAGCTTCCTTCAGCACTTGGCACGAACTCTGCTCCATAGCTTACATCCCAACCTATCACTCTCAGCTCCCAAGACAGAAGGCATTTCTGCAAGTTCTCCAAAACAAAAAAGTTCCAATTAATAATTACAGAAACGAACAAAGATAAACAGGTTGGATACCCAACTCCTTTGTTAAATCAACATCAACGACCTCACTTTGATATTAGAATATTTGATAAAGTTCATATTCAACTCACTTTGTTTATATCAACCGAGCCAATCAATTTATCAGAAAGCTAGGACTGCTTTGGCTCTTAGCTATGTCAAGAACTAAATGAAATAAATCCGGCGATGCCGAACACATATGGCCCCAGAAACGACAAAATGAAGCTCCGGCTTTATAGTTTATATGTTTATTTATTTAATTCTCAGAGCATAGTTTTGCACAGTATGTTGGTTAGAGCATGTGAAATAAATAAAAGGGTCAATCAGAAAACATGTCTCTTGCGAACAGAGGAATCCTAAGAAAGGTCCCATTTCGATGCGGCAATGCATTCGATTCCCAAAAAATCAAACCATGACGATAAAATCGAAACCCACCTCATTGACCGGAAATTCTACGGTATGCTTTGCTGCTGGCCTAACCGTAACTTCAGTGACAGCATCAGTATTGCCGAATTCTCCATCTTTGCTTAGTCCTCCATACTTCACGGGAAGCTGCTCTGGAGCTATGTATCTGAACAAGTCCAGGGAGCAAATTGAGTTGAAATCTCTACACAATCTACGCCAAAGAAACAAGTAAACAAATTTTAAACCTTTGAAACATTACCTCAAAAGGGTCTCTGCAGATTTGGAAGGCCCTGCAAATACAAACTTGCTCTTGGTTCTCTGAGTGAGAAAAGGGCTTATCATCCTGTTCACTGCCAGATACCACCATGGCACATTGATGAATATCTGCGCCATAATAGATTTTGAGATCAAGTTACTCACTCGATAACCATTGAAAATAAGAACCGATAAATGCAGGAGCAATTCAAAAGGAATACCTGTTTGGCTACGAATTCAGGATAGTTGTCTTGAAGCAAATGGAGGGCCTGTTTGGTGGCTTGTCTAAGTTCCCACTTACCAGGTCCGGGAGAATTCTTCAGATCATTAATCTGCACAATGGTGGATACACCACCAGGAGCGAAATCCAATTTGCGAATACTCCTTTCCAGAAACTGAATTCTCCATCTCAGGAAGTTGAGCCTCCTCCCCTCATCGGAAAACGCTTTCTTGTAAAGTTCCTTGTTTTGGAATTCCCCATAGACATTGTAACACACGGGGTGGCCTTCCTTATCGAACCCATGCATGAATACCGCCTTCTCCAAATCATCACTCAAGTTTTCTTCCATCAATTTGTCGATTCCGAATTCTTTCCTCCAGAGAATTGTGTTCTTGATCATGGTGAAAGCATCTTTCACTTTGAAATCCCTTGCTCGCAGGAATTTCAATAGAATAACATCGCTCCTCTCATCAACAAGCAGAGGTATCCCCCAAACGGATACTTCTTCCGGCGGAGGTGGCGGAGGAGTTTCGTCATTGGTTTCCTTAGTTTCTGCCTCCGCCGGTGGAGGAACGGCTGCGCCCTCAGACTCTTTGGCTGCCTGTGTCTCCTCAGCCGGAACAGCGGAAGACACCGCCACCACGCTCTCTTCAATGGCTTCCACGGTTTTAGCTCCGTCGTCATCGACAGCAGGAGCTGCCGCTTTGTCATCAACAGCCTCAACGACCACCGTGGATTCTCCAACCTCCTGCGACGCGGCTTCCTCCTTGTCTTCTTGTTGGTCCTCCGTTTTAGTGGGGTCCGCAGTTTCTGCAGGCTTTTCCTGAACGGGTTCTTCCGTCTTCTTGTCATCGTCCTTCAGAGGAGGACCAGGCGCCGACTTGTCTTCCTTAGGAGGCGAAGGTGGGTCGGGAGGGGCAGAGAATTCGTGCTTGTTAAGAGCATCTTGGACGAGTTGTTTGAACTCTTGAAGGGCTTTCTTCTCGTGATCAGAAAGGTCAGCAACTCTGGTGCTCTCCTCCTTAAACGAACCAGAATCGGGCATTTGGTCCTCACCTTCACCTCCGGGCTTAGCAGACACGTCAGTTTCGGCAGTCTCCTCAACAGGCTTCAATGGCTCGGCGTCGGGAACAGATTGGGGATCCTTATCGACAGGTTTCTCAGGCTGAGGAACATCCTTAAGCACCACTTCTTGCACCTGCGCAGATGCCTCTTGAGGAGGAGGAGCAGCAGCAGTCTTAGGAGCATCGTCAGCCATGGTTGGTGATGGAGTATGACAGCAAAAAGAACTAGAGATGCCTCCGGGAAGGGACAAAAACGGACAGAAGGAGAAGGAGGAGAAGATGAATTGAGAAAGAAGAGGGTGGGGGTGCGGGGAGTTATAGGAGAGGAGAGGTGAGGGTGATGGCGATGGGTAATGAGCAATGAGGGAAATAAAAGGAAGGAGTAGGGCCACGATGAGCAACGGGCCAGCTTGGAATTATGAGGAATGTGGCAATACGTGGGACCCGCGTTTCCAGCCAGAGTCATTAGGCCTTCCTTCTTCATTCTTGAACGCCGTTATTTCCATTAATCATCGGCGCTTTTGCCGGCCTCATCATTTCTCCTCGAACATTAACACCCCGCATTAGCCCTGGCATCCCCCCACCTTCACCCCTTTACTGGGCCCCCTTCCCTGCCCCTCCCCCCATTTTTTATTTGCAAAATTACAGACAACTTTCATTAAAAATTTTAAACTTTTGAGGAAGACTTTAAATCACAATATTCTGTCTAAAAAATTATTTAAGTATTAAATATCATAAAAATTCGAAAATTGAGGAACTTAGGCGAGGGGTAAAAATGGGAGTTCACAAAACGCCATAAGAACATTTAAAACCGGAAGAGAGTACACGCAACAACGTTAAGGCTTTTGATTCGTGGAAGGGACAGTGACCTAGGATGCCCAACCAATTGCTTCTCTTTTTCCTCGTGAGACTGCCACTGTCTAGCTGTGCCTGCCGTACGCATTTTTTGCATTTTAGACCGTTAAAACAGTTTCTCCTCAGGCCCACCCCCACCCTTGACGTGTGCCCAGCTCTGACCGTTTCAGACGTGGGCCCCCCACACCTGTTGGGCTCTCATTTTCATGGCGCAACCTTATTTTTATTCCGACGGGTTGGCAAGGGTGTCTGTTGGGCCTATTGTTTTAGGTCCAAACTCAATCGGACTAATTTTGTGTTTAGGGCCCAACTGGATAAGGGCAGACCAGACATCCGCCGTGAGGTCCCGTTCAAAGGGGTGGCTTTGCTGGCAAAATGAACGTCATGTCGCGTGGACCTGTCGGGTGCTTCAAACTCCGCCGATTTCGACATTTGATGATTCCATTTCCTCTCTCGTCTCTTTCTCTTTTCCCTTATTTGTCAAAACCTTAATCAGTGCCTTATTAGTTATTACTCCTCCGGTCCTAATTATAAGACCCAATTGACTTATTTGAGGAGATTAAGGAAGTAAGTTAAGTTGGTTATTTATAATAAATAAGTGTTGTCATTCCTAAAATATCCTTGCTAATTAAGTATATTGGCTAAAACTATCATTATTAGAAGGATTATCTTGGAAAAAAATGCATAAATATAAGAGACAAAATAGATTGGGTCTTATAATTAGGACCAAATAAAAAGTCAAATTGGGTCTTATAATAAGGACCGGAGGAGTATTACCCAAATTGACTAATCACACCCCCAACCCTAATTTTTATTTGTAAGGTCAAGATTAGCTTGCTTTTTAACCAAGATTATGGCTTCTTCAAGTGGTAACTCTGAAACGTAAACACAACGGCGGTGCATTGTGCTGGACATGCCAGAAATGGAAGTAAATGAGGATAAGAGGGGAGTGAAGTGGAGTGGGGATGGGGGAAAGAAGGGAGCAGGGAATGGGATTATGTGGACACCGAGTATTGACAGAAGCCACATGAGTCGGATCACCGACAACTTTTGACATTTGCAGCTTTGATTGGATAATTCATTTCAAGGGCGTTCCATTTTTGATTTGTTTTTGAGGGTGGGGGGGGGGGGCGTCAATTATTGGAGGCCAGGTCATGAGCCATTCCCGCCATGCTACTTCAGGCAACAAAAGTGAGGTCCAATTTGTCGGTCAATATTTTTATTAATATTCCTTCTCATCCAAGTTATTCTTCTTTCTCTTTTCCCCAATCTATTTCTTACGTTGCTTTTAATACTCACTGGTTATCGTGTATCTTCAATGTCTTGGTCTCGTCGAATACAGTTTTTAAAAGGGATAATTAATCTCCAGGTCCTTATAGTTTCATTTGATTTTTAATTAGGTCCTTATAAAATTTTTTCTTTTTATTAGATTCTTTTACTTTTTTGTGTTTTTAATTAGGTCCTTCTATTTTTTTTCTTTTTATCAGGTCCTTATAGTTTCACTTATTTTTTAATTAGGTTCTTTGTAGTTTTTGAAAAATTATTTATTAACTTTATTCTTTAAAATTAATTTCATTTTTAAATTAATAATTATATAATTGGACAAAATAATTAATATAATCATTTAGTAATTAATAAATAATCAGAATAATAATTATGCTTAAATATAAATTATTTATAATCATATTTTAATTTTAGATAAATTTATTATTATAATTTGAATTTTATAATTATAAAAATTTGAATTGAAAATAAATAATATATTTGTTTAACTAAAAATTTAAAAGAATATTAACATAAGATTGCTACAATAATTTATTATTTGTAAAATGTTATTATTTGTAAAATAAAGAATAGAAACTAGAAGGACCTAATTAAAAACAAAGTAAAACAATAAGGACCTGATAAAAAGAAAAAAAATTATAAGGACTTGATTAAAAATATATGAAAGTATAAGGATCTGATAAAAAGAAAAAAAAATGATAGGGACCTGATTAAAAACCAGTTGAAACTATAAGGACTTATATATTAATTATCCCTTTTTAAAATAAAACTGTAAAAAGAGAAAAGACCGGATTTTTTGGCTCCCCATCATATGTATATCAGGAGTGGAGGTTGATGTGATATGTGCCGATTACAGTACATGGGCCTGCAATTTCCATATGGGGTTGAAGCTTTGGACAAATGTAGGCAAAAACAAGACAGAGAAAAAAAAGGGGAAGGGAGTTAAAAGCGAAGGATATACCTTGTCAAAAGGGCAATCACGAAGTCAATGCGAGACCTTTGAGTTCCCCTATCACTCCGGCGTTTTTAGAGATCCAATGACAATCCATCTCAATGCCAAACCTCAACACAAAACCAAAACCGAAATTGCCATCCCCAAGTAACGCAGGAAGGAACTCAGTGGATTCAAGCTGGTCCAGCCTCCTCATGCATCGTTGTTATTCTCCTTCTCCTACTTTTCCTTTATGCAATTTTCTAATCCTTTCTCTCTCCTCACTCCCACGTGCTCACTCTTCTTCCTCACTCCCTTGCACTATATCCCAAATTCCATCATAAATTCCCCGTTCGCTTTCTTTCTCTGTATCATACGACGCATTAGATTTAGCCCCGCCAAACTCCTCTCCTGATTTCGGAACGGACTTGATCCAATTCAGAGGAGGCCTCCATAATTGTTGTGATTGCTCCGCTTGAGGAGATACCGCAAGAGATTGGACGGTATGGATAAGTACGAGGAGGTGAAGGATTTGGGAGCTGGCAATTTCGGGGTGGCTAGGCTCATGAGGAACAAGGAGACCAAGGAGCTCGTCGCCATGAAATATATCGAGCGTGGTGGCAAGGTTTGTTATCATCATCTTCATCACTGTGTTTGACTGCTTGCCAGAAACTAATATAGTTTAACGAATCCATTAAGTGTCAGATTTATCGCGGTTATGTGTTGCATTTGACGTTTGGAACAACGAAGGACTTTTTGTATACTGACGATTCCTTGATGGGGGTGCTCTGGTTTGTGAAAACCAACCAAAAAAGTAAAAGGAGAAAGGAGCATTCTTTGACACATAAGTCTTATTTCGTGAAGAAAATTTAACAAATTTCGCTAATTTTAGCAATCAAGCAGTTCCCAGATTAAGGTGTTCATGATCACAATCCAATGTTGGCACTTGACGAATGAGCAAGTCCCTTTCTCGGGATATGTGATTCTAAATAGTTTCTTTTTTTCAATCCCAGATTGATGAGAACGTGGCGAGAGAGATTATGAACCACAGGTCCCTTCGACACCCCAATATAATCCGATTCAAGGAGGCAAGAATTTAGTTATTGTTGACTCGTTGAATCAATTATCATTCGGGTATAATGCTGACTTTTGGTACGCTTATTTCAATCGGATTTTTAATTTCAGGTCATTTTGACCCCCACACATTTAGCCATAGTAATGGAGTATGCAGCGGGGGGAGAACTATTTGAGAGGATATGCAATGCCGGCAGATTCAGCGAAGACGAGGTTGATAAGTTGACATACGCTCTCAGAATCTCTTCTTTTTGGTTTTACTATCTCATATTATTTTCGTTATCTCTCATGTTGTTTCTTTGACTATTCAGGCTAGATATTTCTTTCAGCAGCTGATATCTGGTGTCAATTTCTGTCACACCATGGTATTTAACTTACCTTCACTTCCCAAGTTTACAAAATTATAAAAACAAAAAACTATGGCCTCTTCTCGTAGCTTTCAGAAATGCTCAAAATGAGAACTCATCTTATTTCTACTCTTGTTCTGCAGCAAATATGCCACAGAGATTTAAAACTTGAAAATACCCTTTTGGATGGAAGTCCGGCACCTCGCCTGAAAATTTGCGATTTTGGTTATTCCAAGGTATCGGGAATATTAATAAATATTCCATGGCTATAACTGTGAGATGATACTCGTGTAGTGATAGTCTATAGTTAGTTGAGTGCTTTATTATTTGTGTTTAGTCATCTTTGTTGCATTCAAGACCCAAGTCTACGGTTGGAACCCCAGCTTATATAGCACCCGAAGTTCTTTCTAGGCGCGAATATGATGGCAAGGTAATAAAATGTGCTCTCTATCTATCAATAATTTTCAGATTTCCTTTGCCTCTGCTTCATATATGCATTGAAATTTAACTAATCTTTCCAACCTGCTGAATATTACCAGTAGCTTTTAGGTGTTCCAAGGTATTATCTATTAATCATTAGTGATTTCTTATATCTTGTATCAGTTGGCTGATGTGTGGTCATGTGGAGTGACTCTTTATGTGATGCTTGTTGGAGCATATCCCTTTGAGGACCAGGATGACCCAAGGAATTTCCGGAAAACGATCCAGGCGTGTATTTATCTTTTTCAGTGTCGCTTCTAGTTTTTTTTTTTTTTCCCTTTTTGGAACATTTGTTTTTCCTCACGCCATTTGTATAACTCTGCTCCTGTTCTTTTCTTCAGCGAATAATGGCCGTTCAATACAAAATCCCAGATTATGTTCACATATCTCAAGATTGCAGGCACCTCCTCTCTCGCATTTTTGTGGCTAATCCATTGAGGGTATGTTACGATATTTTCTTATGCCAAGTGAATAAATATTGCCGATAATCTCAATATAGCTTCACTGTCACGTCGTTAGAAATTTTATGTATCGGTTGTGTTTATTATTGGTAGGCCTATGGGCGATAACTTGTGGATTATGAATTTAGAATGGAGTGACTGAGTAGTAGAGAAATGAGTATATGATTTACTTTTTGTATTTTATCCCTTCTTTATTTCATCAAAATGCGTTATAGTACATTTACTCTTCCGGTCCTTAATATAAGACCCATTTAACTAATTTGATTAGATTAAGGAAGTTAGGTAAGTTAGTTAATTATAAGAAATATGACATGTTTTTCTTAAAACACCATAATCATCTTTTTAATACCTCCTCTTCCTCTTTTACTTGATTATGGTTAAGGGAGTATCCATAGGGATAATTTAGAAAAAATTGATAAATATAAGAAATGAGTCTTATATTTAAGATCAAAACCAACTCACGGTGAAGACACTGGATCCATCCATATGAGCTTGTGGTTTCCACCAAGGAAGATGCTTTGGTGACATAAAATTGTTTGCATTTTGGAATGAGCGACTCACGAGTTTAAATGGAGCCAATTAACTGACACAGGCCACTCTCATTGTGGGTTTCAGAGAATAACAATAAAGGAAATTAAGATCCATCCATGGTTTCTGAAGAACCTACCAAGGGAGCTAACTGAGTCAGCGCAGGCTGTGTATTACCAGAGAGACAACCCAAGCTTTTATTCTCAGAGTGCGGAGGAAATAATGAGAATTGTTGGAGAGGCAAGAACCCCGCCTCCAGTATCCAGGCCTGTCAAAGGTTTTGGGTGGGAAGGCGAAGAAGAAGAGGAAGAAGAAGGAGCAGAAGAAGAGGTGGAAGAGGAGGAGGAAGATGAAGAAGAAGATGAGTACGACAAGAGGGTGAAGGAGGTTCACGCAAGCGGAGAATTTCAAGTCAGTTGAGCCATACAATTCTGATGCACTCGTTCAATTGTATGCTAGTTAAGTTCGTATTTAGATGTATCATAATTCATGAAGACTTATAATATAAACGTGGGATATATACAAATAGGCTCAGTTCATGGCTGTATTCATCATGTAATGTGTACTTGGTTCGGCCATGGATTCCATGTTTGAGTTGTCTTATATTATGGTCAATATGTACTCCAATAGTATTGCTGTAGCAGATAGCCAAATGTCCTTCATATTCTGCATCTCTGCTGGCGGGCTGGCTGGCTGGCTCCAACATTGAAAACAACAGAACAGAAATTGATTTGGGACCTGTGAAAAGGCATTGGCATTTGTGTAGATTGGTACCGTTTTGGCAGGGAGATCTCGGATTTTTAATTCAGCCTGCTTCTCTAATGCTTAAAAACCGTGCTTTGACCTGCCTTGTTTTTCAATGATTCCACTTGCTTTGCTCCTCAGCGGCAGTGATCTCTAAATCTGGCGCATAAACGAGAATAAGTAAGAGAACGTGCTTTTGTTCCTACCAAAAAATTAAAAGAACGTGCTTTGAAAAAAAAATTATATTTTTTAAACAAAATCGTACAACTTGCTTTTTGAGAAACTAAATATCATATTCCTTTATTGTCATAAAATTCAATATTTGAACTTGTTATACTATTTTTTAAATAATATTAACCCATTTTATAGTGTAAATTACACTACAAAATAATTCTTATATTTAGAACAAGAAGAGTAATAATTATGCAATTGATAAAAATTTTTTACGTCTAAAGTTATTTATTATTTACTATAATAAAATTGTTGTTAACTATTCCTGCAAACAAAGATAACATGCACGTGATGTCACAGCCAGATGGCCGGATGATAACCCCGAGACCCGCATTATATGATATTCTCCACAACTAAAAAATAATTACAAACTCGACTATAATTTTAAGGAATTTAACAAAAATTATAGGCAAGGAGGTAAAAAGATAATATGTGGCACCCTATATACTATTAACGCAAAAAAAAAAAAAAAAACTGCCCACGAAGAAGTACAAATGGTAATGTCGTAATAACACAAAACCCACGTTCCATACTTCCACGAACTCAAGGTTTGTTCTTCGTCTTTTTACTTCCCCTTCACACTGAACCCACGGAGCCTAAAACAGAAATCTTTAAAACTTCAAACCCCACTTTGAATGATAAAAAGGGATAAAATGAAGAAAAGCAGGGCCTTTTGTTCGTATATCAGTCACTGGAATCAAAGCTTCCGCCGTGTGAGTGACTGCCATTGCGACTGTGTATGGAGAGACCATCCATGTGGCCAGCCAAATTAGAACCATCCGCCTTGCTTTTCTGGAAAAATCTCTCCCTTTCCATGTGCTTTGCAGGTGGGGGAGGAATTGCAACACGAGAAGGCTCCCTATCGACATGATTTGCGTTTGGCAGTGAATTTACAGCTGGTGAAGATCGAATCTCAGCTTCTCGAGATGGCTCCACGGGGAGCGGTCTTATCAGCGGACGATTCAGTCTTTCCCCAAGCACACTCAAAGGAGGTAACTCGGATGAAGTCTGTTCATTTTCAGGCCTTGCACGAGCCTTTCCTTTGCGTAATCTTCTGGGTTTGATATAGAAATGAAGAAATATAAAAAATCCAGTGTTTGAAAGTGAATAATAACAGCGGATTTAAAGTGCAGGTAATGTACCTTCGGAATAACTGTTTGGTCTCCTCTTCCTCTTCCTCCTCGACTTCATGTTCAAAACGATTAGCAGTTGTCGTAGTAGCTCTGCCTGAAAGAAGGTCTTCATGCCTAGAAAGAACTCTCTGAAGCTGCTCGTTTAATTCAATTGCTTGAGAAACTATCCCTTCATCTCTACAGAAGCAAATGGGCATTACAATCCATCCGCTGAACTACTTTGAATCCAGAAAGGAGAAGACAGAAGAAATATATACGCCTAAAGCACAAAAAGGAAATTTAAAGCAGCCTCACCGAGAACTCATCACCAGATGCATGATCCTTTGCTTCTGAAATGAACATTGTTCCACAAGGTCAAGGGTGAACTCATCCCTTGCGCCCTAAAACGACAGAACATATTTTCAGATTCAGCGAACGGTGATGAGTCTTTATTCACATGACCCATAACATAGGCATAAAGAAGTATGTCATTGCAATTATGTCTTTATTTTAAATCAAGAAAAAATGTGAAGAAAGAGTTCTTGGAATGCCCATTCTGGTTCCAGTAGGGTAGATTCTTAACATACCTCAGGATGCTGAGTATCAACAGCATCGAGGACTTCTTTTAGAACTTCCAATGCATTACTAGCCTTTTGAATAATGCTGCAAAAAACACGTGCATTATATTTCCTTTGCCAGAAAAAGATAAAGATGATAAGAACACATTTTCGAGGTCATTTGTCCAGTCCACCATTTCACTAGACCCACATCAATCAATATCCATTTTACTTGACCTAAAACAATATCTCTGACTAATTCTTATTATTTGCCCCCCCTGCCCTTGATAGAGAAACCATCAAATCAGAATAATATATTCGTTTAGATACTTCCGCGGTTTCTTAACCAGATGCATCTTGTAACAATGTTACACATCTTCAGTGTATAGTGGAAAAATAATGAGAATAATATCCAATAGGGCTTCCAAAGATCCAGGGAAACATATGCGCAAAGTATATATAAATATATAAAAGCAGAGTCACCTAGATTCAGGAACAGCCTGAGACTCAGCCTGCTGACCGATCCCTTCGACTCTAGGTGAGGCCTGCTCCCCATTCAGTGCATTATTAGTTGGGCTTGGTTGTGAAATGGGATGAGTTGATTGGACAACTTGAGCACCCTGAGAAAACTGCACCCCAGCACTCTGTAAAACATAAATAATTTAGTAAATGTGTTTAGCTTCAGCATTAGCATTTGAAGGATTTAGAACTAGAAGAATATACAAAAAAGAAAGCGCTCCCATTAAATTGCTTAGCAGAAAGCGAGGGTTGTCTATAATTTGGCCAACAAGACATCTGTTATAACAGTTCCGGGGGGTGGGGGTGTTGTGAACGTGTCATGTTTAGCATGGCAGCAGACCATCCGCAGGATTAAGGACAAACGAGCCACTATCAGTTGCCATCAGTATCGCCTCATTTTCAAAACCAGCACAACCTTAACAATAAAATGTCATGAATAAAACTGAAACAATTTTGATTTCACTTGACTCACCATTATCATAATGCAGAGCATGTTGGAAATGCACTTTTTGACTTGGACTGATTTATGTGTGCTATGTCAGTTTCATCTATCTATAATTTCGTGACCAAAAAGACATCTACTATGATTTCATCCAGGAAAACAAAAATTTATATACACAATTTCTTTGATTTGAAGAACCTCACTTATTTCTCGCCACCCTAGCTACCACCTGATAATCAAATTCTAGGATCTACATCAACCCATAAGAGTCCTAGAAATTTGTTTCACATATCTGTACCTACCACCAAATCATTATATGCATGATAATACTGGGGAAACTTTCCAGAAGCACCACCAAGGGAAGTTTGTGTGGCATCTAGCAGGAGAAATATCCGCTCTCGTACTGGCAAATCTGACTGCAATTAAAGAAAAAGGACAAAATCACCGTAAGGTTCTCAAAGATATTAAAATTACTGAAGAAACATAACCTGTTACAAAAATTTTTTTACCTTTTTCTTCACAATTTTCACAAGAATGGGAATAATTCCCGTATCAATCACTTGCTTATGCATATGATCTCCAATATTGTTCATCAACATTTCTAACAGCTAGAAAATTAATAAAGAAATGACTTAGTAAGAAACCATAGAGCAGGAAAGCATGCAACAAAAATGTTCACTAGGATACAGTCATGTAATTAAGATTCTCAGGTTCAGTTATAGAACCATGCGGCATTAAAATCTGGTTTTTCATTATGTTAGTGAATAGGCACACTGCTCAGAAAATCCAGATGAAATCGTCTATGACAGCAAAACATAGGGACGTCGTCATACTTACCATGACTGCGTAAAGTTGAGCATCAGGATTTTTGCTACTCAGTCTCTTTTTGATAGCCTTAACAACATCTCTAGCTTGCCTTCATGTTCACAAACTATGCAATTAATAAAAGTGATACTGCTTTGACTATTCTGCCACATTAAAAAGTTTATCTATGTTCGTAATCTAGTGAAACACCAGCCAGGACCAAGCAGCAGGCAAGTTGAGGGAGTAAACAAAATCGTTGATGAACATAGTAGTATAAACTAAGTTAGGCACCAGATATCAGTTGATTACCAACTTACCAGAGGTTTCTACTTTAAGATTGTGTTCTGAGAAACAAACAACTTTACGGAATATGTAGTTGGATCCAAGAACTTGGCATCCATTGTGGCATACCATGATATAATGATCATTTGCAATGGCAAATATTATCGTACAGTGATAAAAATGAACAGTCCCAAGAAACATAATACGAAATACTAAAACATAATTTTTAGTTCGATGTGATACAGTTGGCAATAACTTCATTAACACACCAGTTATCCATTTCTCTTAGAAACTTTTTAAGACATTTAACAATCAGAAAGAAACAACACAACATTGCATTTACCTTTGATCTTGAGCAACTAATTCACAGATTTCAATATTTTTTATCCAATCAATTTCAGCCAGTTTCTCACTTGTTGCAGCGTTCACAAGCTCAGCTGCCATTTGTCTCCAGATAATCTAAAGATTGATAAATATGTTAAAAGTTACAAGATATTTTAGAAGAGGAAACCAACAGGAAACAAAATGGATTATGGATATTGTGCCTCAAGAAGCAAACTTGGATGGGATATGACCTTCTGTTAAAGGGAGGCAAACAGAAATTATAGGAGTTTTTAGAAAAGAGTTATTACTTCACTTCATTAACAAACAATGCATATCAAACTATCATAGATCAAACCCAACCCCCTCCCCAAAAAAAAAAAAACCCAAGAATCTGTCATTGCAGACTACTTATCAGTTTAGTTGAGAGCCACTACCACCTAATTTTAGTTCGTATTTTGTCTTTCTGTGAACTGTGAAGTGAGAAGTGAAACTGGGGTGTTATATCACACAATTTGAATTCTTCTTTTGTCTTTTTGTGCAATCGCATATACACCAAGTTGCTGTTACAGAACCCTTCGTGATATGTAAAATTAAATCACGTTGCATCATGTAACAATTAAGTTAAATTGACTACTGTAGAAAAGAAACTTACAGTTTGTGGCACACAGGTAGTGCTAAATCGAATGCCAGAATTCAATGTTAGCAACCAAAGAATGAAATATGGGCGAGTCACGAACTACCCTGCGACGAGCAAAATTTCAAGGCTAGATATTCAGCACTTCACAAAATTTCAAATGCCAATGCAGAGATGTGGGATCAAAGAAGATTAAGCAAAAATAACAATGAGGGACGAAGAAGTCAGTCAAATTCAATTTATATGACAAAAGATAGCGCGCTCAGTTCTGAGATGAAGATTATCTTGCAGTGTTCCGTACTTTCTTCCCTAGTAAGCAAGGATAAACATGTAGGTACCATAATCAACCCAATAAAAAATGTAAAACTGAACAGTGCTTTTAGACTGGAAAGGAGAAGAGACATTGATCTCAGATCTAAAGTAAGACATGTCAACAATCATAAATGAGCCATGATTCCAATGAGATATACGAGGTCAGGGGGCTAAATTCCTCAGAAACCAGAAGTTTCGTTCTTTACAGGGAGATTCGATTTATGGCCAAATAAGTATCAGAAGCTTTGATAGAAGGAAATTTACTGTTAAAAGAAAAAAAGCGAAAACGAGAAATTACCTGCAAAGACGGATAAAACGACAGAGACCACAAGAAAGAAGCCGGAGATGCACTGATAAACCCCAAAGAGCTTCAGCATATCAACGGAGAAGTGCCAGTGGATGATCAAATGCTACCCAACCCCAATGAATTCTCTTGCCATATCTTGCTTTTCTTTTCTTTTTTCGGGGTTTGCTTTCAGGTTGCTTTTTCTTTTTTCTGAACTTTAACCTTTTTCGAGTATGGATTTCTTAATTGGGGAACCAAGTGCTTTTATTGTCAGAAACAGCTTGTTAGCTTGGAGAACTCAAGTAGACAGAGAAGAATACGGACTGCAGAGAGATAGTACAATTTTGATCAAATATAATACAAGAAATATATAATTGAAAACTTGGTTGGAGAGGAATCGTTGGGCGTTGCAGTTTACTTGTCAAGCAAATAGAAGAAGGGACACCGCCATGAGCAACGCGCAGTGAGGTGTTGCTGTGCTGTTCTACTCGCCAAAGCTTCTTTTCTAAGCTGAATCTGATATTTATTAGATCCATCCTCATTCCCATCGCACAATTCACTGTTCATCGCTATCCTTTTCAAACCTGCTGCAAACCGTGAGGGTTAAAGATTTTTAGCGCGTCTGAGGACAGATTACAGTGAAAAATTCATGCAGAGAATAAACTCCACCCCATGAGAGAAATAAATTTTAGGCGGATCTATCTACGCATGCGATATACGGTGTAACTATAAGATTGTAGAGTAGGATACTACAATCTGTACAGTGTATACCGCTGCTGAAATATTTTTTTAAAAATATTTTTACTAATCATCTACTCTTCCGGTCCTTAATATAAGACCCATTTAACTAATTTGATTAGATTAAAGAAGTTAGGTAAATTAGTTAATTATAAGAAAAGTGACACATTTTCCTAAACACATAATCATCTTTCTTAATACCCTCTCTCCCTCTTCTACCTGATTATAGTTGAGGGAATATCTATAGGGGTAATTTAGAGAAAATTGATAAATATGAGAAATTGGTCTTATATTTAGGACCAAAACCAACTCACTAATTGGGTCATATATTAAGGACCGGAGGAGTATATTAGTTAAAATTATTATTTGATAAAATTTTTAATGTGTATAATCATTATAAAGACTATTTTAAAAAATAAAAAAATAAATATGAGAGACAAAATAAATTAAAATTTTATATTTAAAATAAAATTAAATGTCAATTAGTTTTTATATTAGTGATTGAATTAATGTTGATTGAATAAGAATATAGAAATCTAAGTTGCAGGTGGTAATTACAATGAAGGAATTCAGGTCCAAGTTGAAAAATCTGCTTTATATTACGTTTTTAGTGAGAAGTATAATCCATAATAAACACGTATAAGGGTTCACGTAGACAGGAAAATATTCTTTCCGGTCTTAAATATAAAATCTTTATACACACTCATATAAGAATTTTATATTTAAAATCAGAAGAATAATAAATAAATTGTCTGTCCAGGCCTTGGAGCCTCACCGCACTACCGGGAAAAAATCAAACAAGGGAAGAAATTGACGGGTTATTCTTGCTTGGATCAAACATTGACAACTTGCTCGGCCACAAGGGAAAGGGGAAAGAAAGGATGGGGCAAGCGGAGGAGTTCGAACCTTCCATGCGGAGAAGCTATCTATGCCCCATAAGTCCGCAGCATATTCTGTCATCTGTACCCACAAGGCCACAATGGACAACCCTGGCTTCTTCACGTGTTTGGTCATTCTTCTTCAGTTCTAAACAGTGTTTTGTTTTTGGGATATCTAGACAGAAATCAAAACATAATTTTAAAAGTAATTTTACAGTATATGAAATAAATATTTAAAAAGATTTGTCTCGATTTAGAAAATATTTTTTAAAATATTTTGAGAGCTTCCAAACACTTTTGATTCACACGAACAGTATCTTCCATTTCAATGTATTTACATGGCAGTTCTCATGTTTTTTAGGCTTGTTACTAGCGTCCGAATTACACAAGGCTATTTTAATAATTGAACTACAGGAATTAATTTCAAATGAGAACTCTGGGCCTGTAGTGATCTTTTAATGAAATTATCCCATATCAAATCTAAAAGTAGAATGTATTTACAAGTAATCTTTTAGCCCAAGCTAGTAGACACAGCTGATCAAAATATGGATAGAAGTTGCTCTCTCTCTCTCTCTCTATATATATATATATGCATGTACGTAGATGTTATGTGGATCTGGTACAATGAATCGATAATGATACACCTGTTCTTTTTTTCTAAAAGAAAAAGTGCACTTGAGATCCATGGGCTCAGCATGGGATCCATTAACGGCCTCCCCAGGGGCTTGGGTTAACCTTTTTTTTTGGGCTAAAATATAGATATCTTTTATTAAAAATAATCCTATTCGAGACAATATTAGATACTAAATGTAGGTACCTTTTCTAGCAGGGATTCAAACCTTAGTTCACCATATTATGAGGGGTTAGCCTCTTCCGCTAAACTCAAACCCCACTGTTGGCCTGGGTTAACTTATGTTTGATTCGGAATTTCCTAAAAAATATCCGTAGAAGGATGTAAAAGCCCCACAAAGCGGTGGAATTCGGCCGCTGTGTTTGTATTTGAGCTGGGAGAGTGAGAGTATCAGATGTGCATTTATATAAAAACTCTGAGACACATGGATTACAACACGCGCCAATAGAAAATTAAACAGTAAGCACACACTACATGAACCTCCCATATCTATGAAAACTCCATGCAACCTATAAGACCCTTTTTTTTCATGAAGGCATTTTTTTATTGGATGCAATCTTATTAAAAACACTATCAAGTATTATATGTAGACACTTCTCTCATCAAGAGTCCAACCCTTAGCTTCCTCACTATAATTTGTAAAACATCAATCTTTTTTATTAGATCCAACCTGTCTTTGTTTTAAGAAGGCATATCCATGGCCTCGGGCCCTCGGCCTTGGCATTCCATGCGGAAGAGCACTTTTAGCTTGGTCCGGGCTTGGACCGGGATCCACATTAAATGAAACCATGATCATATTTGGGTACCACAGAGGGTGACAGCTACCAATGGAAGCGGCTATGGCTCAGATTTCAGTAGAGGCTAGCATGAACGTGCTAGCAAAAGAAATCTCCAAAAGAGGGGGGAAAAAATTTAAAGACAGTGACGTTGATAGTCGCCTAAAGTTAAAGTAACAATCAGTTCGGATATGTTTAGATTGGCATTAGACAAAACTGACTTCTAATTTAACTGATTTTTGTAATTAAAGTTAGAGTATATTTGGATAGGTGTTTTTAAAAAGTCAGTTGGAAAAGTTGAAATTGTTTAGATGATTAATAGAAAAGTTAGTTTAGTTGTCAAATGACTTAAAAAGGTATGGACTTTATTGAATAATAGTTTTTGAAATTTTATGTTTTTAATGTGATAATAGTTTAAAAAACACGTAAAATTATTATGATAAAATATAAATAGTTTATTTGTGAAATTATAAAATAAAAATATTTGTTATGAAAAAAATTTTGAAAATACATTGTAGATAATTAATTAAATATATATAATGGACAAATATGAATATAAATTAAAATTCATTTGGTCTGAATAAAAGTTTATTATACTAACGAAGGAGATGAGACAAGAGGAAAAATGTAAAGGTAAATCTGGGATACTTATTTTTAATAATCACTATTTGAAACTACAATTTGAAAAGTTAGATTTTTCTCCATTGAGTCCAACTGAAGCTGAAAGCCATAAGTTGGTTAGAAAAGTTAGCCAAACCAAACAACAATTTTTGTCTAACTCGGTTTGCAACCTCAATTTTACAAATTCCAAAACACAAACTGCAGTCCAAACATACTCTTAAGTGTGCCGCCTCCAGCCACTATGAACACAAATTCAATTCAAGGGCCCTCCTTCCCCTTCCAAACACGTTCTCGGTTTCTCCCAACTCAGCTCACCCTCTTCTACTTCCTTCTACGTCCCCTCCATATTTACTATTTACGTCAGATTTTCTTTTTTTTTCATAAAAAAATATTTTATGAAGTAAACTTCTGCCTTTTTAACTGTAGTTCTGAGTTATTAAAGCCAAATGTTCATGGTTTAGATTTATTTATTTATTATTTGATACGAATACGATAGGTAGCCATTTTTCATCATCTGAATACTTTCTTTTTTTTCACTAAGCATGTGTACATTTATATTAAAAATAAAAGTGCTGTTAGGTGCTAAATGTAGAAGAATTCATATTTTTATTCATCCTGTTTTCTTGTGTAAATTCAATACTTTCATATTTAGTGAATTTTACCAGATAAAGTTTAATTTCGTTTGTTTTGTTGGCCAGGCCTTCATACCCAACTGTCGTCCTTTGGATTTAAAAAGGACAAACATCTGCCCAAAAAAAAGACAAAAAAACGTCACCATAAACAACACATCACTTCATGATGCACCATGAACGTGAATGTCCCATCGTGCCGGCAATAATTATAATTTGACAAAAAAAATTAATATAATTTTAATCCCCTAAATTTGATTTTATTTTGATTTTAGTCCTTCAAGTTTAATTTATTAAGTTTTTCCATTTAAAACATTAATTCTTATAGTTTAATAAAAAAACTGAATTATTTTGCCCTTTAAAACTTACTATTTAAAATTTAAAGGATCAAAGTCAAAATAAAAATAAAAATAAAAATATATTTGAAAAATTAAAAATCATACTACTTCCGATCCTTAATATAAGATCATATTTGATTTTTATTTTGATTATAAATATAATATCCCAATCCACTTTATCTCTCATATTTATATATTTTTTCCAAAGTAACCCTTTTAACAATGATAGTTCGAGTCAATACACTTGATTAGTAAGGATATTTTAGAAAAGATAATACCTATTTAGGACAAACAACTAACTCAGCTTATTTTCTTAATCTCCTTAAATTAGTCAATTGGTTCTTTTAATCAGGACCGAAAGTAGGATTAACCAACAAAAAAATTAAAGAGAGAGACCTCCTGACTGACTGACTCACACATTGCCACGGAGACACTTTCTTTCTGCATTCTTGTTTTTTCCCTTCCTTGCATTTGCATTTTTGCCTCACACAAGTTTATCGGGTCATTACGGATTTTTGTTTTTTATTATTTCACATCAAGTCAATGCCTCGACCAACCTAAAACCATCAGAATATTAATCTTGTAATTAACTATTTCTCTCTATAATTTAGATTATCTTTTAAAAAGTTATTTTACAAAATTCAAGATAAAGAGATATGTGGGAAAAAAATTATTTTCACTTGCATGAAGGTATTTTAAGTGCTCTTAAAAA